GGGCAGCTGCTCTGGCTGGACGGGATGAAGTTCTTCCGGAACAACATAAACCGCACGAATCTGTACTGGCGCTGCCATTGGTACTATCGCCACACCAAGTGCCCGGTGCTCATTTGCATGAGCAAGACGAACAGCAACGACTTCCGCCAGATCCACGACCACTGCCATATGCGGGCTAAGCAAAGGGGAAAACCGGCGACGGGAAAGGGTCCCAAGATGAAGACTCCAGTGGTGTCCAACGTGCGGAGTCTGCCGCAGAGCATGGCGCACATGTTCGATATGTAATTTAAGAGCATCTCAAAGCATGTCAATAAAACAAAAAGAAACCTATGAGGAACCCACACAATTGTCCAATTTATTGAATGTACACTTGTATTCGCCGGCAATTTCGACCATAACTAATCCATTATCTTGATTTCTTGCAGTTGTCCTGGCCAACGACGAGGTGCCCAATCCGGAGGATGTGCTGGTCTTCTTCACGCAATCGCTGCGCGGTCGCCCCGCCATCATGGCCAATGGCATTCGCTTTCTGATCATGAGCGAAAACAAGAAGAAGATCCTGTGGCGCTGCAGCTCGATGGCCACCAAGAAGCTCAAGTGTCCCGCCCGCATCACCATGCTCAAGGAGACGCCGCCCAAGTTCATCATCAACAAGGCGGACCACATGCACGCGGAGCTAAAGCGGAACAAGTACAGCTCCAGCAAGGCACAGACGCTGCGGGAACCGCACCAAATGTCCGCCAAGATGGACTGCGATGTGGAGGACGCCGGCGACGTCAACTTTGATCTTCATGAGGAGGAGCTCCATGACCTCGCCCACGACGTCTAGGAGACACATAGTTAGAATTAGGTGTACGTTAAAGACAAGTGAAAACTGGATCATTCATTCAGAATAAATGGAGAGAAAATGTACTGTTAGGCCAACAAATTAATTTATTTCGTAATTAGCCACTTAATTATCTTCTTTTAGGTCTAACTTACTTTACCCTGTACTAACAATTTAACTATTCTTTTTGTGTTTTAGAAAGAAACTTCGGCTATGTCATAAGTCAAAAGGGACGCGTTCTGTTGTATCATATGAAGTACTCCTATGTCCGCGAAAAGTGCATCAATTACAAGACCTATTGGCGCTGCACACAGTACACCACCCACGAGAAGTGCCACGGGCGGGTTCACACGCTAAAGGGCAAGATCGTGCACTCCAGCAAGCATAACCATCTACCATTCCACCAAGTAGGAAGGCAGCACGTGAAGATCATTGAATAATTTGCCATGGTGTATTGTAGGAGCGATAAAATATGGACATAAAAGGATATATTTTAAATATTTTATTGGTATATTCCAGTATCAACTACCAAATTTGTATACAACTATATATAGATATTCCTTTATCTTTGATGTATCTAATACTTTATACTTTGATCTCCTCGATCGTAATTAAGGTTTGCTAAGGAAAAAAGCTCATGTACGAAAATAAACTGAAGCCCTCACTTAATTTCATTTTAATACTTTAATTTCTTAAAGCTCTATTAAGTTCAACCTTGTATCCATTACTAATAACGTATGCTCTTCCTTTCAGGTACGGCACATTTGGCTAGTTTTAGTAGCACCCGCAAGAAAAAGCGTAAGCTGGTCATAGATAAGCATGAGTTCGTAATGGATCGCAAGCTGAAAAGCAGCATCAACTGGCGATGTGCCCGCTACAGAAGTTCTAACTGCAAGGTCAGGGCCACCACCCACGTACTGAAGAACGGCCAGGAGGTGTACCGACTGAAATACGCAAAGCACTCACATCAGTGATTCGAGAGACCCACATCTGTTAAATAAATCAAAATGCATTTTTACAAATTAAATAAATTGCCACTCAAGTTGAAGTTGGAGTAACGATTGTTTAATTATAAGAGCACGTATTCAGTTGAAATGAAAATCTAATATTAAATAAAAAAACCAAAATTGTAAAGAAAAATATGCGTGTAAGGCATATAAGATATGTAATTACCCTAAAGTTTTCGCAACTCATACTTATTAATCAAAACACTGCTCGTTTACTTACAGATATTATACGCAAGAGAGGAATTATGATTGTCAAGGGCACCAAAGGAAAACCGAAACTACTGATGGGCGGCTACGAGTAAGACTGCCTTGGAGCTGCTGAATAAATCCAGAACATATTTATTTGTTTTATTTTTAAGGTACTATCGCAATAACTCGCGTGGTTCCAAAACGTACTGGCTGTGTGCCCGCAACCGGTATATGGGCTGCGCTGCTCGAATCATCACTTGCTCAGTAACCGGGGAACTAATCATTAAGAACCAGCAGCACAGGCACGACACATTCTACCAGCCCAAAACGGACATTAAAGAGGAATCACAGACTTCGAGCCCAAAGACTAAACAATCTGGGCAATAACCAATAAACCCCAACGCCATTCCATTCTATAAGTAATTCGCTGTACCTTCTTACTTAAATTGATAAATAATTTAAACCATATTAATTATAATGAGATGATTTTAAATTCCCCATATAGTCTAGCCTCAGAGATCTTTTGGTTCAGATTTACCACATATCTTCTGCATTTTTGAATTTTTCGTAAGGTAGGTTTGCGTTAAAAAGGAAGAGGAATTTTTAAAATTTTATTTATTTATTTATTCTCAGGCTAAAAGGCAATTGAGAAATTACCTATAGCCTATGCTTTTCATTGTAGCTATAGCTACTGTGGCCTTAAGCTACGTTTGTTATATACAATTTACATTTTTAATTTTTAAAATTAAATGGATGTTTTGTTCTACTAATTTCTAGCACAAACATTAACCTTGTATGCTTTTTAACGTCAGTGTGTACATATGACCCGTCTTCTTTAATATGAATTTTCCAAAAGGCGTTTTTTATTAAAGGGAATTGTATAGAATCGGTGACAATGACACTGGGGATCTCTATCTTCCAAATTCGTATAGCGAAAGGTTTCACTAATGTAGAAAAGAAGTGAAATATAAATATATTTATTGGCATATTTATAACAATTTTACAGGGCCAATAATTATGTTTTTCAATTAAATTAGGCACATGATGACAAGCTTTCCATTGCTTCCAAAATTGTAATCTGAGTTCCTTGTGGTTTCAATCTGTACCGTATGGAGATTGTGTACATATATATTTATCATAATTCTTGAGCTCGAATTTTACAAGGGCACCAATGAAGTTTTTTATAAACAGATATTTTCTTTATTGGTTTTCAGAAAGTCAACGAACGTGGATATCAACAACCCTTTGTTGTTTCTGTTGCATGGCCACTTCGTAAATTGATACCGCACACAATGACTGGCCTGCTAATTTCTTGAGTAAACTTTGTGTGTTTATACAAATCGGTTTCCCGGCAATGAATGAGCTGATTCAGCTTTTGAGCCACTCGAAATGTGTCTCATAAATTCCTTAAGTGCGGCATATTAATCTGCTATTGCACGCAGTTCTTTGCATTCAGACAGTGGCAACCAAAAGTTGGCTTGCGCTTGGAAAAATTCAAATAAGAAAGGTATAATACAATTTGTGAAAAGATGATATATACTTTTTTTTTTGCCAGAGACCGTAACTGTTATAAGATTAATTATAACAATTATTTTTTTAAATGTTGAAGATTGCAGATCTTTTGGTTTAGAAAGAGCTTTTAGGAAACTGCGTCTCTTAACAGTAATCCAATAATTACAGGTACTACATAGGGTTTTAAACCCAAAAACAAACAGTTGCTTGATTTCTTTTTAATAATTCGAAAGACATTTTAGGCGTACATGATTTGGTAATATAAGAAAACAAAATTTCAAATATAATAAAAATTCTCAAACAGAGACCATTTTCCCGAAGATTAAAAAAAGTATCCATCCGGACATTGTAGTTCGTGACAGGATCATCAGAAACTTATAATGTTGATTTTGTATGGTAGTGCATATCAAAATTGTTTGCTTAAACGATGGAATTGGGGAAAAAAATTTTGTATTCTTGGCGAAGATTTAAAGAAAAACGAGTTTTTGGCTACAAAATTTGCGTTCTGAGTTATCGTGTTCACCGGCTTCCAACTCGAGGTTTCAAGAAGAACGATGTTGAAATGCGTTTCTTTTTTTCTAAAAACTCTCAGAAATTATTAGTCCTATCGAATTGGAGTTTTGAGAATGTCATTTTTTAAACACTATGTTACCCCTTAAAATAATTAGTTACAGTCGATGGACATGACCGCAAAGACTTGCAAATATGATCCACACATTAAAGAAAAACAAAATGGACAGGTATCTATAGGCCCTGTTATTGACAGAAATATTTATTTAAAGGTGCTACGAAAACGCAGGAGCTTGTAAGCCAATTTTTTTGGTTAAATTTATCATTGGGGCTTGAAAAAATGTATAAACATTTCAAAGAGTGGCAGACCACACAAAATTGAGCAACTCAAGATCAACCCAAAACAACAGAATTTTCCAGCGGATGTTTTTTTTAAACTTGAATGCTTGAACCCAATATTCGCTTTCTTTTAAAGAAAAACTATCGATTTTATCAAAACATTTAGGTATGAGGTTGTCCAAAATAGATTTTCGGCTTCATAATTAAATAAATTAATATTAAACGGAAATCAATATAATAATAATCATTATTGGTAAGCTTTCTTTTTTGGACCACTGTTTGTTTTGGCTTGTTAATGTATTTCCTTGATATGTTAATAAACATGACTAAGCACTTTACGGCTCTTCGCAGTAACAAAATCAAGGTCTCATAAATTGATTCATTTGTAATATTTCTTAGTCTCCAATATTTTATCAGATGTTTTTTCTTTTTTTTTTGCATTGCTTGCATTTAAAAGAATTGCGCCTATGGAATGTTTTATGTTGGCAACGATCAGCCAAAGGGTTCGGGTCTGTGCTTAGTATCTTTCGGATTCCGGAAACTCTAGCCTGCGGTCACACTGCATCCGTGAGATACGAATCTTTGGTCGCATAAACGTAAAGTACCGAAAAAGAAATATTCTCTCTCGAAAAACCGAACCGAGCGGACGTATCGCGCGTGCCGCGTAGATACACAGCCCATAGATACAATTTCCCCTGGCTCGTAGGTGGTGTGTATTGCAGCAGAAGCGAAGGTCTCTCTGCGTGCGAGAGCGTCTCGTCTCCGTGAAAATTCAATAAAACAAAGAGCCCAGTGAAAATCGGTTTGAAAAACGCCAATTGTCTGGCGATTCGAGAGGAATAAATCGGAGGAATAAAGCTGCCAGTAGGAAAAACTTTGTGTGCAGCTTGAAAAACCGTAATGCGTGCGTTTCGTGTGCGTGTGTGTGATTCGCCCGATGCGCTTTAATTAATATCAATAAAAAGTGCAAAAAAAATACAACTTTGTCTGCTGGAAAAGTATCTAAACCCAATTATTCGCCGAACAGCATTCGTTTTAATTCGATTCTTAGCGAGTGAGAGCGAGAGAGAGGGGAAGACTTGAGAAGGAGAAAGAGATCCCCAACACCAACACAGAAGCGAAACTATAACGGTGGTGGTGGAGCAGAGCAGCAACAACAACAGCAGCAGCAACAGCAAAAACCATGCAAATGTAGCGCCGCTCACCGCTCTTCGCCGCTTTGCTTTTGCGCAGAGAACGCCGGCGAATTGAATTCGCCGCAGCTGTGTGTTTGGAAACACCTTGCTCCAATATTTTAACACCCCCCCTCGGAAATACCCGATTTTGCACGACCATCGCCGTTTCAGTCTCAGTTTCGGTTCGCTTCGTGCGCTTTCTGCTGCCCTGCAGCGGAAAATTCAACGAAAAATCACTGGGCAACTTGCAGAAACTCAGCAACTCAACTCCCCAAAAAGCATAAAAGGTGGAAAAAGGAAAGAAAGCAAAAGAACAAGAGCCAGGAAACCGAAAACGGGCAACGATTCTTGCATTTTCCAATGCTGGTTGGCTGCGTTCTGCACGCGATTTCCTCTGTTGCTGCATTTTCATCCAAATCCGAATTCAAATCCAAGACAACAAGAAGAACGGGTAAAACCAGGAGAACGGCAAGAAGAAGAGCCCCAGCAGGAGAAGAAGAAGCAGCAGCAGCAGCAGCAGCAGCAGCAGCAGAAGCTCCAACATTGTCGCCGTGACGTCGGCGTCGCTGCAGCGCCGCAGCTTCATCAGCTAGCCATGAACTACAACTACAGCTACAACAACAACTACATCTGCAGCAGCATCAGCCCCAACAGCAACAACTACAAAAACAACAACGAAGCCAGAGAACAGGTTTGTACGCAGCAAAAATTTGGTTATTTCTTAGATCCGTTGGTTTTCCAACTGGACCAGTGCACTCAGAAAAATTAGTGGTGCTTGTTATAAAGTATTGTAAGCAGAGTATTCAAATATTTAAAGCGGCAAAGAGCACCGTTTTTAAATATTATATTATTGGTTTGTCAAAGTTGAAATCAATTCGACATTACACTTCGTAGTTAAATTTAACTGATGTTCTAATAAATGTTTTGACAATTTAAAATACAATCTTTAGTACAATGATATCTCATAGATGTACAATTATTTTATTCAAAAAATGAGTTAAGATCTTTACTTTTTTCTTGTCGGAGAGTAAAAAATTTTTGATTTATAGGATTATGGGATTATAAAAATATACCATCGAATAGCACTTAAATAAAGATAAAATGTTTAAAATTGTAGTTTTTGGTTGTAAAAACCTTAAATACCAAGTTCTATTTTATTCAATTTAATTTTTATCTGTCTCGATATTCTGTTACTTAAACAGAAATTCCAAATCAATAATAGAACTTAATCGTTTTCATCACAATTTGAGACTTTTTGGTTCGTCATAATCTTGACTTATCTTATCTTAATCGATATCAGTGCGTTTTTTCTCCGTGCACCGACTCGCCGTCGTCGCTCTCCACTCGCTCGCTTATTCATAACTTTTTTGGTTATAGATTTTTGTCACCCCAACCCCTAAACTGGCGACCCAACCTCTTCCCCTCCCCGCTCGGCTCACCCCCCACGTAGCGCCACCATCCTTCAGCTGCTCACATGCTCGACTGTTTCAGTTTTTCAATTATTAATGGTGGCCATTAGTGCGCGCGCTGTTCGACCGACCCGACCCGCCCCGCCCCCAACGGCGGCCGCCCCTTTTGCGGGTGTCGTGTAGACGCTTTTTTTTCCTTATCGGACAAATTGTGTTTGTCTGAAAAGTTCAATGAGGTGCGCACTGCAATTGCACCAGCACTAGCACCCCCTTTTCTCCTGACCAGCCGTCATATTTATGCTATCGACACATAGATAAAAATCATGTTGGTGCCGATGTATATGCATGGCTTTCCCAGATACCAAATGGCAGATACCGGGGACCAGATACCAGATAGCAGATAGAACAGCCCGCAGCGCGGCGGAAATGTATTGCATTAGGGGAATTACTCCGGGACGGGACGCAACTCCAGAGTCCGGAGTTGTTGATTAATTCACCTCGAGGTGCGTGTGGGTTTGTTTGCCCGATGTGAAAATTCTCTATTTATATTTATTGCTCGGTTCGTTGCTCTGGGGCGACGATAAGAAATGCCTCTTAGTCATTGGAGTGAATAAGGATTTACGTATTCCACAGGAAGCGTTGTGCAAAAGTTGACAAACGCACGGTAAGTTGTGAAAGGTAGCTGCCGGGTTTCCGACGAGGCAGATGTGTCACATAAACACTGGGGTTTGAAAAAAGATAAGAGTGTCATATATTGTAATTTCTGACTTACTACTAACTTATGCTGACACTCTGTCCTAATTAACCTGGGTGGGGCTGGACATTTTTAAATTGATTGTTGAGATAAAGAGTCCCAAGCAAGTCAAATTCCTCAGCTAATCTTGTTTATCTTATAGTAAAGGAACATAAGAGCATCTTGTTAGATTTCTTGGAAACTGAATAATTATATTTATCTTTACTATCTTGATAAAATTAGGAAAGATTTGCATACCAGTCGAGAATGCAGAAATGGCAAAAATGTTGACAAGATGATTATAAACTTATATAACCTTATTATATAGGGGCTACAAATGTAATCTAATCTTATCTATCACTTTATATTTCGCAAGACTTTACTTTTTAGGCTCTAGAGAGGGATGATACACGACCATAGAAATAGATAGATTGCCTATTATATTATTTTTAGCCAAAGGAAGTGTGGAGGAAAACGGACAAAGTGAATCCTAAATATAAAACGTAAGGTCTTTAGCGATAATTGATGGGCTCCTTGATACAAACCTTAATTTAATAGACTTATACGGTCTGTTTTATTTCCCTACTGAGTAATTATTTTAGACTTCCCCATTATCGATCAATTTGACCAGGCTGTGTTCCGCCTAATTGTTCAGCTCCCTTTTTGGAAGCCCTGCGTTATTATCCCATCTAAGTCGCACTTAACTCCACCCACCGCCCACCCCTAGCACCCGGGCCACATGTGTCCACAACAGACCGTGGCATGGGCCAAGGCCATCATTTACCCGGGCGCAGACCACCTGAAAAACCAATAAAGTCATTTCACACACATTAACCTTACCGAAAAGCAGAGAGCATCACGCAACCTCGAAGGGCACATAGTCCATTTGATAATTGCAAGGAGGTTGTACCTTTTGGACCGTGCGCATCTTCCAGACTCTTTGTGCGGTTCTACCCAACCCCCGGCCGAAACCCACCCCATTCCCAATTCGGCAAACACATGCGAAACGCTGCTCGGTCACATATGTTGCCCAAAGTGATTATTTTCACTAAAAATAAACGAAATTAATGATTGATGAAGTGAGACAAGGGAGCGAACGCATCCATTCCATTCGCATTCCCATTCCCATTTCGCCCCTCCAGAAAACTTTGAACGGCCGTCAACACCAGCAGCAGCCAACCCCAGTCGCACTTTTCCAATTTCAATTCCGACTCGGATTCGAATTCGGATTCGGCATCCTAGAACCGGATTCCAATGAAAATAAAAACAAGGAACATGGCCGAACGTAATGAGAAATAAGCCGTCACATAAAAGAAAAGTGTCTTTTAATTGAAACCAGGTGAAGGAGATGGCCTGGCCTGGCCTGGTATGGCCTGGTATGGCCTGGACTGGATTGGGATCGCAATCGGAAACAGAAACAGAATGAGAAACAGATTCGGAGCGGACCGTGTGCCTTGGAGTTTCTTTGTGACCATGCCGCTGTCGCAGCCAGACGGAAATCATAAAAATGTTGCATAAAAATATTTTTTATGTGTGCTGCTGCTGCTGATGCGGCGTCTGCGTCTTTCGGTCTTTTGGCCTGGTGAAAATAATAATAAAATGGGAATAAAATAAAGCAAGTAGAGGCGGAACGGAACGAAACGTACCCGGCCGGGTGCCGTGCCACACATTTCGTTTATATTTACTTGACAAGTTTTTGCACTGCGTCGAGACGTCTCCGTGTCCGTCTCCCTCTGTCTTTGTGTCTGTGCCAGGGGTACACTGGGAAAAACCCAATTTAAATAATGCACATACTCCCTATCAATTGTTTAAGGCACTCAAATGCATAATAAAGATTCCATGAATGATAGATCACTATAGTAATAGGAAAGTTTAACCAATTTGGATCATCTTTATATAAATAAGAATAACTCAAGAAGGCATTCAAATATTTAAGAACAATTGCACGAACGACTGAGTAATAATATTGCTTCAGAAGAATATGTTCAATCAGGAAAATTTTAAGACTAGAACTTGAACTTCCAGCCTGAGAAATATTAAGTACCATCCTTGGTCCCTGTTTGGGCGCCATTTATAAAGAGCCTCATTGGAGCTTCAACTTTAAATCGATTTTATTAGATCTTCAGTTTTTTTCTAATCGCACTGACCAATAATTCTCGGAAGTTAGGAATGTAATAATATCGCTGTTTTAATTTAACATCTTCAAACTTAGTTATATCCTAACATGTAAATGAGAATATGGGGCTGGGTCTATAGATAAATTAAATTTGCCACCCTATATTATGTCCCTTAAGAGCACGAAATTTTCCCGATACCATCTACTTCGAGCGCCCCGTTTCTCCCAGTGCTGGGCTCCTGCCTTCTGCTTGGGACCAGTGTCTTGGGTCGCCGTTTGCCATTTTTGGCGGTGCTATGCAGCGGCGCTCCACGTCATCAACAACATCATCAGTATGGTCGGGTGTGGGGATGGGTATGGGTATGGGTATGGGGATGGGGCTTTGTGGCCTGGGCTGGCCTGTTTTATAGTCCAAACGTGATAGCGAAATGTGCCGTCTTCTGGCTCCTCCTGCTGCTCCTCCCCCGCTCCTCCTGCCCCCGGGAGCCCCCTCCTGCTGTGCATTTTCGTGCAGTTCGAGGCTGGAGTTGTGGGTCTTGGCAGTTTCCTTGGGAGGTGGCTCCTTCGCCTCGCCTCGGAAAAATAAATTAATGGAAAACATGCAAACATAAATTCTCTTTAGCTGTCAGGTGTTTCACATTTTAAACGTAAATTATAAATAAGCAAAGTAAAATTATAATTCCGCCTAAATGTTTTATTTGCCACCGTCTGCTGTCATTCCGCCCCCGTCCTTTTCCATTTTGGACACATTTTTCTTCTTGTGCCACATTTCTTTTGTGGCATTTTCATTCGCTCTATGGCTTTCTGTATGTTTGGGAGAATTAATTTTATTCAAATTAATGATGAAGCTTATAATTGGCCCCGTTTTTTTTCGGTCCGGTCTCCGGTCTTCGGTCTCTTCATTTTTAAATAAAGACACTCCACTGTGTGGCAGGCAACATAGTCATCGTCATCGCATCATATCCAGCATCCAGCTTCAGAATCTCTGGGGGAAGGGATGCTGTGGCTTTTTAAGAGCATTTGACATGACTTGGGCTTCATTTTCCATTCGATGCGCCGCTGCCTCCACTTTGATTATGACGTGAAGTTGGCCAAGTGCAAATACTTTGCTGGTACTTTTTAATTAACTTAATTAGCATAGATGATGGGCTAAGAGTAGCGCTTACACAACATCAAAATTGCATTATGCCTCGCAAGCTTGCCGCTCCTCCCGGGGAAGTCCCCCCATTTTGATTTAGATTCTTTCGAGCATGCTGAATTTCTAAGGAGAGCCAGCCTTCATGACATAATAAATGACACATGGCCCGGCGACTCTTGACGGTGGCTGGGGAAAAGCTTTTCATTTCCCCAGCCATCCCCAGAAATGAATGTTACATTCATGTAATAAGGAAGCTATGTGTGCTCTTATAATCGATTTTGAAAGGTGAGTAGGTAGGGCATACAGGTTACAGCTAGGAACATGCTGAATAATTTTAGATAACAAGATAATCGTATGTCATGGGTATTGTATTCAGTTTGTAAAAGATAATATGTGATGAAGAAGGTATAATTTATACCAGGTCATAGCTACTGCTCTTAAAACCGAAGATCTTTCAGAAAATACTTTACTTAGTAAATACCTATAAACTTAAGCTTCGAGGGGCATAAATTTCTTCTTAAGACACATTCTTTTGAAACCAAACATCATAATCTATCTAAGAAATTCCTGAAATTGAAACTCTCACACTAAATGAAACTGATGGATTGACATTCGTCAGTTGTAATTTGTCAAGAGTTTTGTGGGACGACCTCACAAAAATTAATTCCCATTCAATATCAAACTTTTGACCATCTTTTCGAACCATGATGACCAATTAAGCTTCCATCAATGGAAAAAATATGTATGCTGCTTGAAACGCATGCATGCGATATGGAAATTAAGAGCTCCCTAGCTGGAGGTCTATTCATGTATTTCGCTCCACGCACATGCCAAGACTCTGAAAATCTCTCAAGTGGTTTTTATTTTAGTAGAGTTTTTCCCCCTCGCTGGAGGCGCTAAATGCAGGAAAAGATTATAGCGGAGGAAATGCTGGCGATGGCGATGCAGACATTCTTGGGTACACACACATAAATCGATGCGTATAAATTTGGTGCCTAATTTTTTTTTTTTTATAGCGCGTGATTTTTGATTTACGCATCGTTGGAAGTTTTATTTCGATTGGAGTGTCGGTTTCCCAGAGCCCATATTTATTTTTATTGCTTTTTAATGCGCCGCCGAGGAAGTTTTATTTATACATGTATGCACAGGCGAGCAACTGTTTTTGGTGCGTGTCATAAAGGCCGAACAATGAATCTTGTGGGATTATTTGCGTACGCCCGTGCCCTTGCCCGTGCTGGGGTGCAGCTTTATTTTAAATTCAAATTCGCAGCCACCTTATATCATGTTTACTTGGCTTTATAATAATAAAATATTCCACTCTTGTCTCTGTACCCACAGGACACGCAGCAGCAGCAGCAGCAGCAGGAGCATCGGCAGCCACATCAGCCACCAATGCAGGCGGCACTGAGGACGGCGAGCTCCAGCTCCAGCTCCAGCTCTAGCTCCCTATCCACATCCGCAGCCACATCCAAGACGAGAGCAGGAACAACGTCGTTAATCTATTTACCGCCTTTCTGCTATCCATGTAAGCATGTGCCTGCGGCCGGCACCAGGAGTCGGAGTCGCAGCCAGACTCTGGGCCATGGCAGCTGCTGTCCGCCCGGCTGGGAACATAAAAATTATGATAAACATGCTTCAGCGGCGACGTTGACACCAGCAGCAGCAACAGCAGCAACAGCAACAGCAGCAACAGCTACGGCAGCAACATTGTCCTCCTCCTGGTCGGGCAAATTCCTGCTGCCGGGTATTCAGTTACCCGTGGCCGCAGCGGGGCATGGCTGCACCGATCTCTGGCAGACGTCGCAATTAGTTATGCCCACTCTGGCTGGCGGGGATGGGCAGGTGGCTGGGCAGGCGGGCGTCTTGGAATGCGGCAAGCGAGGCTGGCGACGTGAGCGAATCCGGCGCGAAGGACCAAGTCATGCGTCTGCGGCGTCGCTGGCCCAGGTAAATCCAATCAGCACTAGCCCGGCAACAATGGAGGATGGGGCAGGGGGAGCAGGACAAGGAGCAGGACAAGGAGTACTGGCGGATTCGCAAACAACGACAACGAAAACAACGGCAAGGGGCACAACTGGTGCCGCATTGCCGCATGATGAAGAGAATGATGAATGTAGGTGCTTTAACTATAACGGTGATATTAGTCTGGATCGGCGGGGCCAGGCCGCGGAACTTTCCGGCATTACGTGGCTGATGTTCTTGTGGCAGCATCTGCTGCCGGGCAACGGAAGCACCACCCACACCCGAACCCACAGCCCCAACCTCACCCACGAATCCAGCTTCCCAGCGGGGACAACAACGAAGGCGCAAGGAAGGAGGAGCAGGAGCTGCTGCGCCATGACGTCGACAAAAAGCTGGCTGGGACCGCTGCTAATGCTGCTTCTGGCCACGTCCGTCAGCGGCTGGGGTGGTCGGCAAGATGGTGAGTAGCCCCCCGTCGATAAGTAGCGCTATGATAAGAATTTATAATTTCACTTGGCGTGCCAAGAAAGTGGCCCAGCTAAGTTGGGGACCCCAGGACCCCAGTATCCCGTGTCCTCTCCCATCCCCATCCCCATCCCCATTTTCATTTAATTTTTGTGGCATAATTTGTACTCGCAACAGAGCGTCAGCTGGCGGCTCATCCCTCCGCCCACTCCCACTCGAAAACGGTCATGCTCAATTGAATCCATAAGTAGTTTGTGACCGCAGTTCTGCGTTCGTATAATGCGTTTCAACTGTTTCTCCATGAGCGAATTTACCCAAAAAAAAAAAAGAAAAACGGGCAGAAAAACAATGAAAACAACGAGCAACAGCCGCTACGGCAACAGCAACATGCAGTGGCAAATTGTACGGAAATTGCCCGAAACAAACAGCCAGCAACCGCCGACCGCTGACCATAATTCACTCAAGTTAGACAAAAGCATTTCGGATGCCCCGCCCCTAATCCCCCGCCCCCATCCCTTCCAGCAACACAGCTGTCCCTCTGCGAAATGAAAGTCCAAAATCCAGACCCAAGCCCAAAACGCAAATGAGTCTCGCAGGCAGAAGCAAAGGCACGGGCGTCATGCTCTTTGAGTTCGGAATAAGTGTTTGTCTGTTCGCTCGGGGTGCGTATTGCCAGTCGATAGGGGTGGTCCAGTAATGGCCTGGGCTCCCTTAAGTATACGTAGTACGACCCCTACTCCTACTCCTCCCACCCCACCCCACTCCACGCCAGCTCCTAACGAACGAGCTCTTCAAATTGCGCACACCCATAAGTGTGGGCAACATAATTGGGTTAAGGAGTTGTTAGCGCGTTGAAGTTGTCATTATAGATCATCATAGATAAGATAAGTGTACGTTGCCAGCGATAGGAAATTGCTTGTCATAACAGGAACCACAAATGACGGAGTAGTGCATAATTAATATCGTGTTAAATATTCTCGCTGTCAATCTTAATTGAATACTGGGAAAAATAATGGGATGGTAAGACAATCACTCAGACCTATGACGAATAATAGTAGATATATACTGGAAAAGCATCAGAATGTTGTATATCTGAAATTGTAATCTAGTCAGATAGAACTGCTATTATAGATAAACTGCAAAATCCCAATAATATCCATTTTTATTTTAAGCATAATTGAAATTATATGACCCATGGAAAAATGAAAGCAAGACATTCATTCAATATTATTACGAAAAATAAGACATTCTTAGAAACATAAGAGTTTTGGATATGTGAAATTATAATATTTTGTTCTTCAAAGTTGTATTAGTCTTACTCGATAGAAATTATACACTAGATCTATTGCAAAATCCCATTAAATTCCAGTTCTATTTAAAACATAATTCAAATGATATGTTGCTTTTCCAAGCTCCGCTGCCTTGTTTAGCATATGTACATGTCTGAGAAGCCGCCTTAGTTACCTTCCCTCGCAGCTGCCAAAGCTCCCGAGATTTATTTTGATTAATGCACCTGATTACTGTCAGTTTATAGGGATCCAGATCCATTGTGAGGAGCAACTCTTTGAGCATATTTATTTTATTTTGCTTCCCCCTTCATTTCGCTTTGTTGTCGCCTAAGCTTCTTCGTAACTCCCACCATCTGCACCGTTTTTTTCTCCCCCCGTTCTATGTGTTTCTTTCTGAGCCACTCTAATCCAAACGAAAAACACACCGAACACCGAAAATATATCTGAAAAGCCCCGTGCCCGCTTTTTCGCGTTCGCGTCCGTCATTTCAACTGTCTATACGCATTTGTACGCCTGTCTGTCCGTCTGTCAGCCAGTCAGTCGGTCGTGGTCTATGTCGTATATTTGCTTTTAGCTTGTATTTACTTAAGCTTGTCCTGCAGCATATTTTTCAGGGTTCCAGGGGTTCGGGGGTTCCAGGGGTTCGGGGTGGCGAATTAAGGACGAAGGGCAACGTGCGCTGATTGTGTTGCGGCAGCAACAATACCATACTCGGTGCGGCACTCAGGCAAAAGTATTGAATCATGTTGGAAAATTATTCACGGTACTTGAAATTGGCGAAACAATTATTCGTCGGCGGGGGGTGGTTTTCAGTTTTCGGTTTTCGCTTTTCGCTTTTGGGTTTTGGGTTTCGGGCTCCGTAGTTCCGTAGTTCCGGACTCCGGACTCTGGACTCCGGGACTTTCGTATCGTTCGGGGCGGTGGCTGCCCGGCAAAGTGTGCTACACTTTTCGCACAACAGGCGGCCCGCTGTGCGTATGGGCCGCATTATGACAGCCAAGCGAATGCGGCCCGTAAAAAGCACAAGTCATTGGACAGCACACACTCTTGTACTCACATATTCGTATGGCCAGAGCTATAGCCAGGGCTATACGTACGCCCGACTGTAGTCGGAGGTCTGAGCTGCGGCTCAGTTGGGGCTCAGAGTTCAGAGCGCTGCGCTGATCCTGCGCATGAGTACCTTTTGTTTGCCGCAAATGTAAAAACAAAAGCAAAAAATGGAATCAACAAGGAACAAGTAAAATAAAAGAAAGGAAAGGAATAATAAAATAAAATGTGTATCGCTGTAAGTACGGCGCTGTGTGTGTGCGAGTGTGTGTGTGGCACCGTGTTGCTGTAGTTGTTGCTGCTGTTATACACGGGAAAGAATTTATTGTCAGTTTAAAGTATTTTCATATAATTTATGAATTGTCTTTATTTTATTTACACATTATTTACTCCGATTTTACTTGAAGCTAATAATTTTGAACAGATGTTTCATTCCTTAACGGGCCTTAATGTAAGAATGATTTTAACCTGGATATTCCCTTTTTTATTAAGGATACTAGAAGGTTTTTCTAACTCTTAAAGTACATTATTTTGTAGAAACTATATAAATCTATATATTATAATCATATTTGTAAACTCTTCTTGTAATACTTAGGAGTTAGGATCAAACAAGATGACACAGCGCACCTTTCTAGTTTCAATTTAATCCCTAAAATGAATGAACCGGGTGAAGGTGCCTGTGTTGTTTCTGATAGCAAGTGTAAATGAAAATCCAATTTTATTAAGTAAAAGTTTCCATTTACTAGCTATCATAGCTAAAACAGACAACTTTCCTCGGTTTCAATGCCTTTGTTTAGGGATTAAGTTGAAGGATTTAAGAAATTAAAGTTTGTATGTCGAACAATAGGTAGCAACAATAGTTAAAACCCTACAACACTGGAAGGACGAACCATGCAAGCTAAATCTATTAGTCAAGCATATAGTTCGAGTGGAAAAGGGAAACCATTATAATAGTATACAGTTGTTTTGAATACATACAATCTAGTACTATAGGTAATTGTGTGGTGTTACCCAAAAATTCATTTAAATACATCGACTTAGTTGAAACCCCATCATATTAAAAGCATTTTAGTTGAGATTTCGACAGGAAGGAATACCTAACTTGGTAGCATTTCTCCCTCTGTACATCGACTCTTTGCCTTTGGTTGTGTTTCTGTTTCTGGCTCGGGTGCGCACATTCGTCTCTCCTTGCGAGTTTTCTGTATTTGAATGCGTAGCCTGAGCTCGGACCTTCCTCCATCTCCGCCTCCACCTCCATCTCCTCATCCATTTCCATCTCCAACTGCTACTTGGCAGTTCCGAGTTTCCCAGACCCACACCCACCGCCCAGCGGCATCAGGACTGGCATCTCCATCTCCGCTCCGGTTCCTGCCCACCATCGCCATCAGTGCCACCATCGTCACCACCCTTATCCCAACTCCCAACCTCCGAACTTCCCAACTCCCAGCTGAGAACCGAAACTCCCTGCCGCTGCCAATCGTGCCCAAACATTAAGCTATATGTATGGCTCAGAGGGTGGTTTTACCATTTCTATATGTATCCGTGTGCGGGTCTATACCCATTGTATGGGATATAGTACTTATTGCCCGGGTGTGCGAGTGTGCGAGTGTGGCATGCCGTTAGCTAACTTTCCGTTTACGTTTCTTTCTCTATACTTTGGCTTCGCCTTTTCCATTTCTCTGTTCAGTTCAGTTCAGCTCCTTTTTTTCTTTCTCTTTTTTTTTTAATATTCACAATTGCCATTTCGGTAGTTTTGCTGTCAGTGTGTGTGTGTGTGTCCGTATCTGTGTGTGACATTATTATTATTACGAGCAGTTTTTGGTTGCCTGGCTTGTTCAACTTATTTATGCGCCTGCCCTCCCCTAAACGGATACCCTACCCCTACTAGCCTTACTACCCTTACCCCAACCGAACCCACTGAAATATCCCAACTCCTCATCGGGAGGGTCGTAAATTGCGGCCCCTTATGCGCACGCACTTAAATACAATCATAATAATAATTGAAACAATTTACAAATTAAAAAGCCACAAATCTTGGCACCGAAAACTTGACAATACAATTAGAATGCGAGTGAGCTGGCGAAGAAAGTGGCCAACCGAAATCTAAATTTATCAATAAACAAGTGCTTTTTGTGGCCTTACTCGTAAATAAATGTGCCTGCAAACGCACTTCATTGGGAAAGATTGCGGTTGCTCTTTTATACGGCTGGCTCTTAAATGAACAATGAGCGCAATTGAGGCCACAAAACCATACGCACATGCATACATACATACATATGTATCTGCAGTCCGCGGGGAGGCAATTGGAATATAATATCTTAATGCATTAATGGTTAAGTCGTTTATTAATAAATTATTACTCTGTATTTTGGCTTGCAGCGCCCACAAATTGCACGTTTCCGGCACGATGGGAGGGCTCCTGGTTCCTGTCCGGCTATCAGCAATCCATACACATCAAGGGCTCCCAGTTCAGCTATCGCGGCAGGTGTGCGGCCTCCGATGGTAACAAATATCTGATTGTCGACGAGTAAGTACCATCTCTCCGGCCGGGATCCATAAGCCCCTCCTTGGTGGGGGCTGTGCATCCCGCTCCGCCTGCTAACAACAATATGCTAACATCTCAACCCGATACTCGATCCATTGGCTGGCGAAATAAGTATTTCGTTCGTTTTTGGCACAGGCCGAGGAAAATGAGATGTTCTGGTTTACTTTTCCCCCACATACATATATATATATATAGTGTACTTTTTGTGTTGGTCCCTTTGTCGAAGAGTGCCTATAATTGAATAAGTTTTCATTTCTGACTGAGGAAGGTGTGTGTGCTTGGTAAAATGTGTTAAGGTAAGGCTGAGGACCCCCCGCACGGGCGGGAAAATGCAGCACTAACCTCATTAAAAAGAAGCCAGTCAGCACACCGGAGTGGGTAGAGTGCTGGCCAAAGACAACAGCGAGGGGTGAGCGACAGCGGCATCGACGGCGGCAAGGAGGCATGTAAAACGGAGGTGCACTCAGAGAAAATGTCAGGTCAAAAGCAGCACCTATTTCTTGGAGGGAGAACTAACCAAGGCCTGAATGAGGCTTAGCATTTTTTCAATACCTTGTGGATATGTAAATAGGTACTTTTATTAATTCATTTGAATTCCATTTAAAGAAATCTTATCTGTACCGCAAAGCATAATAGAACTCATTTAAAATATATGAATATTCTAGTTTTAAAAACATAATGTAATGTTAGTCCTATTTTGAATTTCAAAAACATAACATACCGAAAAATACTACATATACTAAGCCATTTCGATTTTTTTATGATTCCAACACAAAATAATTATGATTAATTTACAAGGCTTTTTTAATGGTATTATTAGAGAAAAAAGCTGTCTATTTTATTGTATGAGTATCTTAGTTTAAAGAAGGACTTAACATAGTACGCAGTTTCTTTCTGATGCTTTATGTTATGGGCAATTTGACTGTATTATGGTACAATTTAACCCATTTGTAAAGTAATTTCAAAATAGTTTTTGTAAAGGTAACTTTTTAGCTGTCAAAGGTAGTTCTAGAAAGACTAGATTATGATCTGAAAAGAAGATGCATCTCCCTGGAGTATTTTTTCCCAGTGCAGCAGTCAAACCTGTCGTCAACGTTATCGCTGAACGTTGTCGTTGCCGCTGTTGTTGTTGATGTTGCCGCCGTCTGCCAGCTGCTGCCGCCGCTCTTAACTTCTGCCTCAGAAACGGGTTTGAGTCGAGAAGAGTCGGGTTTGTTGCCGCACCATGCCGCACCGTACCGCCACGGCCGTGTCCTCGGCAATCCACACTCCATCTGCTCCGTGTGCAGGGCACTTTCTTGGAGGCAGCGTTGCTCGTAATTCGGATGTTTGACAAGAGCCAGTCATGTACCGAGGCAAAAACCACCCATCTATCCCATCTATCTCTGTGTTCCCTGAACGTGTATATATCGCCCGATAGATATAGTCATCCGTGCCTGTGTTTGTGTATCCCAGTATCCAAGTACCCAGTATCCAGTTCCCAGTCGTGTTGTAAATGCTACTGAGCCAATGCTAAGAACTAAATCAAACTTTTTACGTACCCACGTATTGTGTTTTTAATTTAAAGATCTGCCTTTTTGACTACTCTGTATCTGTGCTACTCTACCGTCATCTCTCCTACTTAGCAGCTGTGTTTTATGCTGCCCATTTTCCGATGCCTTTTCATTTAAAACGATACGAAACGAAAACCAAAGACATTTAAAGGAAAATTGCTTTTTGTACTGCGACTTTCCATGCCTTTTCCATTCCTTTTGCTTTGGTCTGGAATTCCCCTTTTGTTTTCTTTCGTATGAATGTTTTTTAGTCGTAAAGAGCAATGTGAAAAACAATTAAAACCCTTTTAAGCTGCTTTCCTTAATGCGAAAAAAATAAGAAGTACCCACAGAAAAGCAAAACATTGAGTTACCCAAGTGGAGTTTATTTTGAATTTTGTGTTTTTGCCATGTTTATGCCTATAAATATTTAATAAACATATGAATAATCCTATCCGTAAGCTAAGTTTTTCCGTTGTAGCTGAAATGTGAAAATGTTTTTTGATTTTTCCGCTGCCTTACTTTGACTCTTTAAATAGTATTGGCCTTTTTGCTGTGCTGCTGGAGGCGAAGGCGGGGATTGTATTCATATTTAATTCACCCTTTGCCACGCCCTCTCCTCCGGCTGCCATTCATTTTGTTCTGTACAAGTTTTTGTCGTATACCAATAAATATCATAAACATATCGAAACCAAACCGAGCCCCATCTACTGTATCTTACCAACCAGGAAACTACAGAACCCCTACATGTCGCCCAACCACAATCAAAAATCAAACAAAAACCCAGATGAAACTGTTTATTTTGAAACGTTATCTACTTATCTATACGAATAAATATGTATTCAAAATATTTTTACATCACTTTTCAACAACATATATATTTTGTGAGTTTTTTGCGTTATTAAGTGTACGTCCTTTGAGTTCCTTTCGATGATCATTTAATTACTTCTACTCGAAATATAACATCAACCTAGTAATCGCTTTTCAATCGAATATAACCAACTAAAGCGGGGACAGAGTCGAAACGTAACTCTTTAAATTTCCCAGTTTCGACTTTGTGCCCCGCTTCTGGGATCATAACATGTTTATTTTGTACCTACCAGTTTGGCAAGAGTAAATCGAAAGATATTTAATAGAAGCCGGAGGGGTAACGCCTCAGTGTGATTCTCCTTGTTTTGCACCCAGTATACACATTTACTCGTAAATAAGATATTTCGTTTCCGATACCTTCCATTCACACAAACACACGGAGGGACTTTCAGAATGCCCGGTCAAAGTCTTAGCCCTAGTTTACCAACCATTTTGTTTGTCGATTGCGCCAAGAACCCGAAAACAAGCCAACACATCCCGCACCACCGAACCAAAGAAACCAAGAAACCAAGAAATACCCAACAAGAAACAAAAAACATGAATATTGACCCACATAACCATTATACCATATACATGCAATACCATATAAACCGTATACCAACTACCGATACCGAATACAAAACTTTTCGTTGCAACCAAAAACTTTTTTAGGAAAGGATGTCATCGTTGCCTGGTTATCTATGAGAAGCATAAAAATGTGCTCCAATATAAAGAAAGTGAGTGCGAAGGTGATAGTATGTATATGCATCAGTCGAACCCATCTGCACTGGCGATGCGTAGCTCTAATAAACAAAGTGATCATAGGGGGGGAGCTCATCCCAATACGAACGGGCATTCAAGACTATCTTCATCGGATCAGTACATAATGAGATCCAATGACGATATGAATGATTGTAAGCATTAACTTTATATTTTTCTCTATATCTCTCTATCTCTCTCTAAAATAAGTTATAAGCAAAGCAAGCAAACTAAAATGAAAATACAAAGACTCTATCTCCTAACTCGCTATCTCAAAATACCAGTTATCTGTTATCATTTCAACCTATTATTACATATTTCGAAATGCTCCCTTAGTTAACCAACATGACTAACCTAACCTTATTATTTAAGCGCTATTTTCATTTCACTCAAAACGAGAATACAAAAGTTTTTCGTTCTGTCCAATGACCAACTGAAAAGCAAAAAAAAAATAAGATGAAAACACGTTCTCAGTTTTATAGCTCTTTTTGAAAACACACACAAAACAAACGCAGGATTTAGATGATTATTTCGGTATTTCTGATGAGTTCTATTCAGTTATTCTGGTTTTCCTTTCTTTCATTCGAACTTTCTTTGGTTTTGGTTTTAGTTCGTGTATGATTTTGATGCAACCTTTGGTTAATTATACAAAACAAAACCAAAAAAAAAGAAACGAAACCAAACCAAACCAAACTTGTAAATAGTCTCAAACAACAATTACTCTGCATACGAAATGAATAAAAATAACTCTACTTTGTTTACGTTTGTCATGGCAAGGGTCCTCTCTCTACCTCTCTCTCTGTATATCTCGAACTCACCTCACTTTAATCAAGCAATCAAGCAATCAAGCAATCAATCAACAACGAATAACCACTCAATCTATCAATCAACAAGAAGTACATATCTAACCACAAAAAATATATATATAACCACCTAGAAAACCGATAACAATACCAAAATGAACTGTATATTTTCCTCAACATACACACGTTGCAATTTATACCGAAAGTTACAACCTAAACTACTCGTACCACTATTAATATTACCCAATACCCAAAGTTAGTGTCAATCCAATTAAGCTACTTAGTTGCGATTTTCAAGCGTATTAGCGGATTAGCAGATTAACCCCTCCCAACAGAGCAACCAATTAAAGCCAAACTGAAACCGAAACCGAAACAGAAACCAGTGAACCCGAAATCGAAACCGAGGTCCAGAACAACAATTATGTAGGTCTACTCAGTAGATTCAAATACAAAACCATCTAGACAAAGGAAAACAGCGCGGCAGTCTTTATTTCTAATTCTAATTCTAATTCCAAATCCAACTGAATCGGAACAAAAAGGCAAACCCCCCAATCGAATCCAAAAAGCAGGGAAAAAGCAAAACAGGAAACTATAACCAGTTTTAGTTAAGAACCTTTGTTTCTCTCTTTTTTCGTTTGGTTTCTTCTTTGGTTTTGTGCATTTTTCAGTTCACCTTTACTGTAAATAATTAACAAATACAAGCGAAAAACAAATTGTGTAAATATATAAAAAAAATGTAAAAAAAGAAACCTGAGACTGAAAATCAAATTGTTTGTTCCATGCCCATTTTTTATTACCAAACATTTACATATATCTAAATATATATCCATATATATTTGCAAACTCTATTCAATATTTATATGATATGTATACTTTCCTTACTTCAACATTTTCAACCACTCCAACAACAGATCTCTCCAGAACCTAAAAACCAAAACCAAAACTAAAACCCAAACTAAACTAAAACTGAAACTACAACTACAAATCAATTTGGAGCAATTCAGAGTTAAAATACGTGTGCGAGAGTGTGTGCCAGTGTGTATTTGATTCAAATATCGAGAGATGAATAATAACAAACAGAGGTGTGCACACACATGAGAAATTTGATTGGATTTTGGTTTTGAAATTTGCATATTTGAAATTTTGTACATTTTTAACAGCCGCAGCTAAGTTTTTGTACAGTTCGTTTCGCGTTTGTTCCCATCTGTATAGTTCTGTATAGCAAACAAAGCAAACCGAACCCCAAATGAGCACCCACACATTTGTATTTACAAAACAAACTTGTATTTAGTTGCGACCCCAGAGATGCGACCCATCCACTCATCTGTAAATAAATCTCACCTCCAATCATGACAAAAGCAAACCAAATAACAAAGACCAAAGACCAGCACACCGGACCCGACGATCCTACAGAAACCAAGTATTAAAGTGTTAAAGTCTTGAACCAGTTTCCCGAAAGCCCATTCAAATCTCTGACGGCAGAGGCAGTGTATTGAATTTCCAATAAGTTTCAGTACTTTGGCGAGCAGTCGAAGAATTATTACCCAAGTTTCTCCATCCTGTATATATTCTTTTTTTTCGCTTTATCTGGCATCACATTCACAACCCACTTACTTAACTCGCTGTGCCCATGATTTATTTATAGGTCGAAAATGGAAATTGGAAACTTGACACCGAGTGTCAAAGTGTTTTCACTCCGTTCCAAAGGGACTTGAAGAACTCGCAGCAATTATCCATAGCGAAAGTATCCCACTTGCAAACGTTCTGTTCGCATCCATAATTCGTTGCTAATTGCTGTAATCCGCTTAGTTCTTAATCAGGTGGCGAGCTGCCAGAGCACCTAATTACCAGGGAAAATACTAAATAACCAGAAGGGTTGCCAGACTCGGCATGGAATGCTACTACAAAGCCTCTCCTCCGGATTCGTATTCGGATTCGGATTCAGAATCAAATTCGGATTCAGATCCAGATCCGTCATGGCAACGCAATCCGCCCGGACACGCATAGAAATGTAAATTCATTATTTATTATTTGTTTGCCTCAATAGAAATCAAATTAGTTTAAGTGGCGAGCTCTTGGCCCAGAGCTCAGTCAGACAGTTGGCTTCGCATTTGAAAAACGCCACGCCCCCTATACACCACACCACCCCTCCCAGGACCTCCTCACAATTTGATATTTTCCACTTGATATTTCCGAGGGCTGGGGCTCCAAGTCCGACTGTCTGACTGTTTGACTGCCTGACTGGCTGTCTTGGCTGCCTCGTGTTGCCCGCCTTCCTTTTCCCTTGATTTGATTTTGTTTAAATATTAAACGAGAGTTTTAGGTCTCATTTATAATTCAGGGGACCCCGACCCCCCCAAACCTCGAACCAATGGCGTGGGCGGGGTCGAGTTGGTTTTGATTAGCAGACCGTAAAACAATGGTATCAATAGTACAATGGAATTGCGTGCGTGTGTGCCTGTTCTTTATTAAATCATTATTTGTTTAGATTGTCACACAAGCGCACAAACACGAGATTAAATTTCAGTTTCGGATAAAAGAGCAAGCCTTGCGGGCAAAATGAAAATGCTGCCAGGGCTCATCCTTTACATTTTAACCATTTTAATGCGCTTTGAATTGAGATTTGAATTTTCAGCAACGGCATAATAAAGTTGCTTTCAATTACGACAGTTTCAGTCATTTTTATGCCCCCACATACGCACACAAGGAAACAATGTATATAAACCCGGCTCTTGGCAGACTGTAATTGGGCTTAGACAGTCGACAGTTTCAATTACTGAAAACTTGTACATATGGGATTAGCAGGGAAAGCCTTGTTAATTGCTATAAGGCTAATGTAGTGTCGTTTTCACTCGTGTCGGGCATCAAAGGATATCCAAGGTTTTCCACACACACACATGCGATGCCACACTCGTCGTTAAAATAATAGGTACAAATTGGGACAAGGCTGATAGTGGGATGGTCTTGTTATGACGTTTGTGAGAGTAGGTTCACAGAATTATCTAGAAGATTGAAATCGATCGAAAAAACATAAATATATTTTAAAACATAGTTTTTCATTAAAAGATTTTGTGCTCTAGTGATATTCCACAAATTTAAATATATTATAAAAATGAACATAAATCACAAGGGTTTTTGAGACCACTTTTAAAAATGATTTTAGTGCCTAAAAGTATGCAGTGAGTAAAGAATAGAAGACTTCTGGACGAATTTATTGGAGTTTATTTTTTAAATATATTGTTGCATACTTTTAGACACCTAAATTACATTGAAAAGTGATTAAGAAAACCTAGGGAATTGGAAACCTAATATATATAATAACCTTGAAATATTAACTTGATACTAGTGCTTTAATTTTATTTTATTTTTAAAAATGTACGAAAATTACTGGACATTTCAATTGATAAATATTTAGTTTTTGTTTTCAAGTAATTGAAATGATTTAATGCCAAGGCCATGTCCCTATTATTTTGACCACGAGTGTGTGCGCACGGGTAGCAAAGTGCGTGTAAGCGAGCTGCCAATCAAATGAACGAGTCTGCTGCCCGAATCCTGAATCTGAACCTGAATCCTTCGATTCATTGGCATCAATGATAATCCAATGCGAGCCATCAAAAGCAATTGCATACTTGGGGGCGTTTGCTAACTGCCATTTAAATTGCATTTTCGAGTACAAACTACACACGGTAGTACGAGTATCACTAGCCACTCGACCTGCACGCCCCTGGATCCACACCCCTGCCACCCCCACCCCCACCCCCCTTAATTATGTTTACCGCTTTTTATTTTGCCAGCGCTTTTAGCCAGACATTTTGTGTAGCCTGTGACGGGCTGGCAGGCAGCATTTGCATACCAATTTCACTTCCAGCTCCACTACACCGCCACTCCACCTGCAAAAAAGCGAAAAACCCTGGGAATAAAAAACGAAGCCCGGAGGTTGGGGCGATGGTGATGGGCACTCAATGAAGGCCAGGCCGCAGCGTTTTAATTGCAGCGCAAAAGCGTAGGCGGTATATGAAAATAATTAAAATAATTAAGCAAAACTACGCCAGCCAAGCACTCGCCGTTTTCCGTTTTCAGTTTTCAGATTTCAGTTTTCAGGAGGTTGCCCTCGCCGCTGCTCCTTGAGTTTCCATTTTTTCGGGAAAATACTCAACGATAATTTTTGCAGTCTCCCTTGGTTTTTGCCCCCCCCTCATTTTTTGGGGCATTTTATTATGAGTTTATGTTTAAGGGCGTTCGGCGCATCGCATATTCGCATTCTTGGCGCCCTCATAATTTGCTTTATATTATTTGGTGTTACAACATGGCAGGACATGCTTTCGCCAATTTCGGTGCAAGGATATTTAAAT